GGCCTGTTCTTGGAACGTCCACATTTATCTTTTAGACGATATCATTATTACTAGGTATCTCGACCAACATGTACAGGATTTAACAGGTGTTTTCTTTTAAATGAGGCCGGTCTAAAGTTAATGTCGAAAAGTGCAATTTGCAGCCCCTGAATTAAAATCTTTAGGTTACAAATATCTCAGAAGGTCGAGACAGACGAATCAAAAATAATCGCTGTACAAAAGTAAGCCACTTCCAACCCCCGGCAAAGAAGCTCTCTTCTTTCTAGGACTTTGTTCATATTTAGGTCCTTTCTAAAGATTTTGCGGCTATCGCTGAGCCATTGTTAAAATTAAAAAGGAAAAAGATTCTCGTGGACGGCCGAAGCCATTGCTTTCGAAAAATTAAAACAAGCATTACAAGCCCCTGTGTTTTGAATTTCCTGAAAAGGTGAGAATTTAGAAATTTCCGCGGATGCTTCGGATTATGCGGTAGGAGCGGTACTTTCGCCAAATCAGCAGCCTGTGGCATTTTTAGCCGAACTTTAATCAACAAAAGAAACTATTCCGCGACCGAGAGATAGGCACTTGCAGTTCTGTTAGCAGTGCAAAGTCCGAGTCTATTTTGGAAAGGCGCAATACAGTGTACTCTGTCATGCGGCGGCGCTCTGATCTTTTAGCCCAAGATTTGTGGCGATAAGAAATAGGGCGGCCCTTACGAACTAATAGATGGTTCTATTTTATACAAAACTCGATTCAACAAACGAATTCGACCTGTTATCCCAGCTAGTCTTAGATTAAATATCCTGCAGGAGCTCCAGACAGCCCTTTGCTTCTCATCTGGTATTCGACAAACTATCCAACGCGTACGCGAGGCAGTCTATTTTCCGAACTGCAAACGTGGGGGATGTCCAGTCTGCCAACATCAAGCAGTTAATTATATTAATTCGCCCGGCCGGGTTTCTAAATTGTATTAAATCCGAATTTCCAAATGAAATATTGGCATCGATTTATTGGGCCCTTTCCCAAAAGTCAGTTAAATAAAAGTGCATCTCCTTGTTGGTTGATCATTTTAGTAAGTGGACCGAAATTGTTCCCTTAAAACGGGCCTCCGCGAAATTAGTTACTGATTTATTTTAAATAATATATTTTAAAATACGGGGGCGCCCCTAAAAGTTATATCGGATATGGTCCTCAATTTGTAAGTAATGTTTGAAGACATTTGTTAAAAAAAAAACTGGGCCTACGTCATTTAAAAATGTCCCGTATCCGGCCGCAATCAAATATAGCGGAACGGGTCAATAGAAATATAGTGAAATTATCCGTAGATATGTTAAAATTTTCATAAAAGCTGGGATAACTATGTCAATGAATTTGCTTTCGCCCTTGGACCTCAAAACATGATACAACGGGCAAAACTCCTGCTGAGTTATTTTTAGGCAGAAAGATTATAACGCCGTTAGATAAATTATTTTATGTGCAACAAAGAGCCCCAGAATTTAAAATGGGTGATATAGAAAAACTAATTAAAGAAGCAAAAAAGAATACGGAAGTAGCACAGAGAAAACAAAAGCTTATTACGACTTGAAACGACGGGAGTAACTTATAAAGTAGGGGGAAGTATTAAAATTAAGCATTCACTTTCTTCAGCCACCAGAATATAAAACTGCCGAATTTTTTTCCACGATTTGAAGGACCATATGTCATAGAAAAAATAACTCACGCTGTAGTGTGTTTAAAAGCCAGGAATGGGAAACCATGCTCCGCAAACATTGATAAAATCAAACCCACTATGATCGTAATAAAATGCAAATTTTCAAAGATCTTTTGCAGGATCCGGCACGGCAGACACGGCAGGCACAAGCTCCAGAGTGGGAACCTACAGTACAAGGGCAAGCCATTAAGAGGCAGGAGCAAGTGAAAAGAAAGTTTCCCCGCGGGAAAATTGAAGGTAACAAGAAAAAGAAGCCGTTCCACCGTCCAGAAAAGAGAGCTCACGAACACCCCCCAAAATGAAGAAGGGAGAAGGACGACGTATGCAAAGAGAGCCAGGAGAAATGACGGCAACTATAACCCGGCTCTAAAACGGAAGATCTACTCATCCGACAGGACTCTCCGCAGCAAATGTCGCCGAACTGCGGAAGGGCCACCAGCGGCGGAGGGAAAAGTTACAAGGAAAATTTGAATGGCCAGCAACGAGGTCCAAGCAAGGAACACGAAAGAAGTTTCCCGGTTCCGCCCAGACCAGCTGCCATCAAACGGCCAAGACCACAGGCAGAGGCGAAAAAGAAGGTATTCAAGGGTGACCGAACTGGAAAAAAAAAGAAAGCTTCTAGAGGAAGGCACTGAAGGGCGAGCCCGCACACGAAGGAGGATAAATCAAACAACAATCTACGCTACTTTCCAGGACTGGGCTCAGAAAAGAATGTCCGAATATCACAAAGATAAGTAAATTTTATGTTACTTGCAAACTTAAGTTAATTTTCATTCTTACTGCAAGTGGCAGATTTCAAGAAGTTTTACCTCATGCGAGGTCTACGTTATCGCCCCAAAAGGGCGAGAAATGAGTTGTTACCGATTTTGGTATTATTTTTTCAATTACTCGCGTGTAAAACTAAAGTTGATGTATAATAGCGATGTGTAAAGACTTAAATATTGTAAAAGTTATTGTATAAATTTTATTTAAAACTTTCTGGCAAGAAAGAAATTTTAGTCTGAAAGACTTTTGAAATGTAGTATTTCAATGTAGAAAGAATTGGCACTTGCTTTGAAAAGAATAGAATTTAACAATGTACTACTAATGTATGTTGTCAAATGCGTAAAATTAACGGCATGTTAATTTTCTTATATACAATGTGAACTGTTATTTCAAATGTAAGAAATACCTGGATATGGTAAAAGTGAAAGTAATGTTAAAAATTTGTTATTCGTGTGACTGTAAAAGACTAAATCCATTGGTGAATATGTGTTAAAGGTTGAATGAATGTAGTTAGGCTCTCTGACGCTACACTTCAGAGTTAGCCACTTTCAGAATAGTACCTCAGGGGTTTAGAGTTGAAGTTAGGGTGTGTTACGAGGTCTTGGTATGTTGAATTTTTAACACGTTAGTGCTTTGATTGTAGGAGGAAGTGTTGAACACGTAGACATAAACACATTCGTGTTTGGTGTTTCTTTTACAACACATGTCAGAGAGTACGGGGAGAGATAATTAAATAGTCATGAATGAAATAAAAATGTTAAGAGAAAATATTATACATGTTACTTGCCATTTCATTGTGTAACATTTTCATAAACTAGTTTTCCTTCCAGATCTCTGGAAGGAACCAGATTTGAATAAAAGCTCCTGTTTAGATGCAGTACAGATGAAAAATTGCGTGTTTCCTGGGAGCTGCTATTGAAAAAACAAATTTTTTTCTTTTAAATTTCTAGTTTCTAGCGAAAAATGTTTGTAAAAGATTGGCCTCGCGTTAGTTTCTAGAGCTAAAAGTTTCCAACAAGGTCGTTTTAGACCTCAGTTTCAAACTAATTAACTCTGGCGGGAAGTATGTAAGGATCTTAAGTTTTACTAACTGTTTTGGCCTCTTCGGTGATTGCGGTGATTTGTGCCCAGAGGGCGCACCGCACAAAGAGTTAGTTGCGTTACAGAACGTAAGGGAAGCGGACACGCCAAAATGTCGGGCGTATTACCGCTAATTGAGGTAATTGCATCGTATCTGTCAGGTGGCAGAAAACTAATATGATGTATCAATTCACATGCCAGGTGGCAGAATATGTCTATCATGTACATGCCAGGAGGCATAACGCTTGTAACATGCCAGGTGGCAGGTGGCATACGACTTGTAAATAAATGTACAGTAAAATATCTTGGTGCAATAGATCAAGGAACAAGCATCAACAACCTTCTGATCATTTGGATACGTACATTTTTTCTGGTGACACCCGGACTTGATTTAACATGGAGATGAAGAATGGACGAAGAAAATTAGTGAGTTCATGACTGAAAAGCCAGGATTTAACGCGAAGAAATTCGAGGTAGGCCCTTTTTCATTTTCCAGTTTTGAATAGAATTGTACCAAAAAAAATGTAGTATCCAAATGATCAGAAGGTTGTTGATGCTTGTTCCTTGATCTATTGCACCAAGATTTTTTACGTACATTTATTTACAAGTCGTATGCCACCTGGCATGTTTACAAGCGTTATGCTCCTGGCATGTACATGATAGACATATTCTGCCACCTGGCATGTGAATTGATACATCATTAGTTTTCTGCCACCTGACAGATACGATGCAAATTACCTCAATTAGCGGTAATACGCCCGGACATTTGGCGTGTCCGCTTCCCTTACGTTCTGAAACGCAACTAACTCTTTGTGCGGTGCGCCCTCTGGGCACAAATCACCGCAATCACCGAGGAGGCCAAAACACTAACGTTTATTTTATTTTAAATCTTTACTATCACTTCTTATTTTCTACTTTCGGCCAGAATTATAAGCGTTAACGTATTTATGCAAAGTTTGTCTGGCGAACGCCAAGTATTTAAGTTGTGGCTTTTTGCCAAGCGAGGGAGAGGAAGCAGTTAGTCGAAGCAGACCGCTTACCTTAGAAGTTTTACTCAGTTGCTGGTTGCCTTCCAGGCCAGAGGTTTAATCCTCTTGATAACTTTAAACGTATTGTAGTGTTAGCAGTTCTCTGTACTACATACGGCTTCCTGTTAATATAAGGCCAATCTTCCACGTTTATTATTTTAATTAATTATTATTTTAATCTTCCACGTTAAATTAGAGTTTAGTTTTATTTTTATATTTTTACGTTTAGACCACAAGTAGTGGGTCTTTGTATTCCGAAGTACGGAAGTTATTGTAAATAGAGAAAAATAAAGGGTTTTGTATACCCTTCTTGTGTATCCTGTCTACTTCCCACAGTTATTGAACATAGCTTTAGTAAGCTCTCTGTTCCGAGTCAGGTCCTTGCATGTTCCCGAAGAAAGTAAGACGGAACATTGAACTTGATACAATCTCGAACTGTACTTACCGCAATTCTGGATCTACTACTGTTGATGTATCTTTCGGATTACCCATTTTAGCTGTTCCTACTTGGTGATTGAGTGTGACGACAATTGATTCGGCGATGCAGCGGAAATATTTATCATCATCGTTTACATAATCTTCACATCCAGGAACGACTGTAGAGAAAGGCTTGGAACCAATCTTCTTCAGTGGCTCACTAGTTGCAATTTCATTGCATTTCTTCATACCTGAAATTAAATAAATCCTTGCATTGCATTAAATTTTTCCAAGTTTAGAAATTTTATGTAATGAAAAATTACTTTTTTAGTAGCTCTTCTATTTATCAACATATAGAGGACACGGATACAGAAAAACAGATATGCAGCACAATTGTATTTCGTTTTCCTTTCACCTCTAGAAATATTATATAAAAAACTGAAATGCGGAAAAATGACTATAAGTATTATTTTAAAGAACGTATATTCTGAATATTTAAATAAAACATCATATATGCTTCAAAAGCATAGATTAAAATTGTAAATTGTGAAATAGTTCTCGTGGTTTTAAAATAAGAATATATATTCCATTCGTGTTGTTGTTTGTTGTTACTTATCCTAAACTGGATAGCCAATGGGCTAGATTAGTGCTTCGCAAGCTTTTTTGTCCGAGGACCGATAGAACTTACGAAAAAATTTCGCGGATCGGTGTTTTTCCCCCCTCTCCCCAAAACTTTACAAGGTATTCAAGAATTACTACATAAGTTAATTGTAATATTCTTATTACCATTTGCCTACGATCATATTTAAATATAAAGATTAGTAAATATTGTAATTATTACATATCAGAATAATTATAAGTAAATAAACCTTTGAGAAAATCACACGATATTACAAAAAAATAATCACAAAAAACCCTGCATATAAAAACGGATCAGTGACGGTTCCTGGACAAGCGAATGAGGATCCCTTATCTACCATACCTGAAGCGCCACTTGTCAACCTCTTTTCGTCCTCAGGTGGCAACAATTAAAATAATCGGAATTCATAACAATGCTTTCGTTGGAAAGAACATCTCTTCAAACAACACATTCAGGTTTTGGACAATTTTCTTCTGATTATGGCCAAAGGAAAAAACCATATTTCAAATAGTCTGCGATATAGTGCCTTACAAAGCTTTTTTTTTCTTTGGCAGATTGCGGACTATATTCACCTTCATCTGTATTCGAAGAGGTTGACGACGTACTTGGTTTTGGGGAATCCTTTCTGTGCAGGAAATTTAGTAATGTGTCTTTCGTTTCCTTCTTACTCATCCTGGTTATTGATTTGTAATCTACCTAAAGTTAAAGAAATAGTTGTTATAGTAGTATTAAATTCAATGGTTATTAAAAACTTACGCTGATGTATAGTTTTCAGTTGTCCAAGCGTGCAGAAGAATGTAAGCAAGATAAAAAGCGAAACCCAACCTAAGACGCCTTAAACACTACAATAGATATTCAGCGTTCAAGTTATCAGCGATACTCAAGGCAGACAGGGGCACGCTAACTGGTGTACTAAGTGTACGCACGGCAATTTATGAAAGGCGATTAGGTACATAGTTGCCAGTTTGTTATATTTTTCATCATCGATCATATTATTTTCTAAATTAGTAAGCTATTGTTATTGTAATGTAGGTGCTGTTGTAATATCGGTTGTCGGCCAATGACACTTTGGGTTTTGCTCAGATAGCTGGATATTTTGCGGATCGGCAAATATTTCTTGTGGACCGACGGTTGAGAAACACTGGGCTACATCACATCCATGAGCCCTTCACATTTGTTTATCGCTCTTGCTAAAAAAAAAAAAAAAAAAAAAAAAAAAAAAAAAAAAAAAAAACACTTAGTGATTTTGCAAGTGGTGGCCGAACTAAAAAGGAATTTAGCGATTGGGTCCATCCTCAGTCGTTCTCTAAAAGGGGATATATAAGGTATTTTCTCCCTCCTATTCTCATGCTTCGTGGTGTAGTTGGAAGCAAACTCGACGCGAATTCAGGAGGTCCGGAATTTGAGTACCAGTTAAGGCATAGGATATTTTACCTGTCTGCTTCAAAAAACCCTAATAACTTTAGAACTGGGCCCCGAACTAACAAAGGTTGTCGATGGTGATTCATTACCACCGGGAATTTAGAGACTGTGTCTCCTCATCCTCAGTCGCATTTTAATAGGAAAGGTTATACTATACAGTATTTTTTCCTTCCATTCCTGAGTCCTAGTGAGTGCATTGCATATTTTTCCCATTCCAGGACCGATATAACTTAATGACGCTACATTTTATTTTATTTTTAATTTTATGGTTACTTACTGTGTTTGTGTACATTTATTTCATGTATTATTTTATGTAACTTTCAATCCTCAGTTAACTGATGTTATATTTGTAAGGATAACCTATAAGTAAAATAAGTTATGTGGGCAAAGGACGGTTTTTAGAGATTTTTCATGAACTTGGCATTTTGATAATTATTGGAAAAATTCTGGAACTTCCGGTGGAAACATCGTTTTCGAAATATAGGAGCAATTTTTCTAGAAGATTCCAGAAGTAAGCATTCATTTATAAATAAGATCGGGCTGGAGCCTGAAGTTCAATTCAAACCTGTAAGTTCTAGTGAGAAAGTCGTATGACTGTTTAGATAATGAACTTTTCAAATTTGAATTAAAATAACACGCCTACTATTGAAGGAGTTAAAATCAACAAGAATCAGTGTAGTGTTCATAAATTTGCAGGACTAGTTTAGAAAGTTTTGCCACAACAAACCTCGTTGTGTCAGATGCCTGGAAAGCCACAAATCCTTTGACTGCCCAGCTCGTCTTAAAAAGGAAATACCAGCACAATGTATATTATGCAAAGGGCCTCACCCAGCATGTAGCACTGAATGCCCCGAAAGACCAGGCAACGCAACCGAAAATATCAAAAAACCCACAGAAAACGAAAAAATTATTACAAACTCCCGGAGCACTGCAAGTCGCAATACTCCCAGCCAATCAAGCAATACCATTCTATCCTACGCTGCAGTCACAGCATCAACCAAAAATAATGGCAACAAACAGCCGCAACCCAAAGAACCGACCCATCAAAAAGAGGAAACCGCCACAAAAGAACCCACACAATATAAAAATCCGCAATCAAAAGAATATAATCAAGATAAAGACGAGGATTTTGATGATTTTGTCGAATTCATCGAGCAAATACATGACCTCTACCTTAAATTTAAAAATACTCAAGTCAACAAATTAAAGATCGCCTTAGAAGCAGTAAAGATTTTTCACACAAAAAATTATGTATAATCACAGACAACAAATCAACCAAAGAAATAGACCACATATCAACTATGCTAAATTTTTATCCTTCAATAGCAATGGCATTAAAAGACAAACGCTACAATTAAAAGATTACATTAATACACATAACCTGGACATCATTCTCCTAAACGAAACGCATCTCAAACCCGAAGACTCCTTCAAAATTCCAAACTTTGACATACATAGAATGGACAGACTTCACAACCGTGGAGGCGGCACAGCTATTATCATCAAAAGGAGTCTAAATAGCACCAAATTTCAGTTACCAACCCTCAATAGTATTGAAGCATGCGCCTGTATACTTCCCAGCAGAAATATAAACTACTTACTAGTTGCAGTATACAAACCACCAGGAAAAACCCTATGCACTCAAGACATCGATAAAATTATCAGCTTAGGTTTCCCCACAATTATTGCGGGGGACCTAAACTCAAAACACACCACCTGGAACTCCAAAAACAATAACCCGGACGGAACCTTACTCTACAACTACAGCAACAACAATAATATCATCATCACTGCTCCAATAGAACCAACCTTCTACTCCAAAATCCACCCAAACTCCAACGATGTACTAGACTTAATCATCACCTCTAAAATTAATCAACAACCATATCTGCAAGTCGACACTGCGTTAGATTCGGATCATCTCCCCATCAAATTCACCCTACATGGACTCCAACAAGGACTACCACCTCTAAAATGTAAAATAAACTGGTCGAAATTTAAACATGAAATAGACAATAGCATCAACCCAACCTTCTCTCCCCAAAACGAAGAAGAAATAGAAAACGCAATAAATTACTTCTCTCAAAAAATTCAACTTACCCTCGACAATAGTAAACACCCCATCCAAAACAGTAACACAACTCTCCCAAAAAATCTCCAAAACAAGATCAAAGAGAAGAATAGATTAAGAAAAATTGCTCAAAACACACAAGATCCAAGAGACCTACGGGAATTCAACAGAAGCAAACAGGCAAACTGCGAAAATTAATGAAAGAATTTAAAGAAAAATCCTGGAATATCTTCCTAGAAAGCCTTTCCCACACAGACAACTCCGTCTGGAAAATAGCCAAATCCTAAAAACAAACTGAAACAACCATAGGTCCAATATCTGATGGCAATACTACCACTCACAACCTAAACGAAATTGTAGAGCTTTTTGCAAATTCATACGAAAAAAACAGTTCACGACAAACAACTTCCCAAACCCTAACGACATAAATATCGAAAACCATGTACAGCACATCCTAACAACTGTCCAGGATGCCCCCATCCAACCGATTACTCCACTAAAAAATCAAGTCTATCATCAAAAAATCTAAACAAAAGAAAAGCCGCAGGCCATGACAATATCACCAACAAAGCATTAAAAGAACTCCCAAGGAAAAGCAATAGTATATCTGACTAAAATAATAAATGCGTGCCTAAAATTAAATTACTTCCTGCTCAATGGAAGCACGCCATCATAAACTGTCATAAAGAAACCAGGTAAACCAGGAAAGGCAACAACAGACTACAGACCTATTTCACTACTATCATCATTAGGAAAAGTCTTTGAACGTATTCATCGTCCAAAGACTTGAAGATTTTATCACAGAAAGAAATTTACTACAAGAACATCAATTTGGATTCCGGAAAAAAATTCTCCACAACCCAACAAATAACGAGAATAGTTGAAAAAATAGGCGAATCGTTCAATAAAAATGAAACAAACAGCAGCATTATTCCTCGACATAGAAAAAGCTTTTGATAAGGTTTGGCATTACGGCCTCCTTATCAAACTTATTAATTACAACCTTCCCTCTGAAAAAGCATAGCTCTCATAAATAGCTTCCTAAGCAATAGATCCTTCCAAGTAAAAATCAAATCACATACTTCTCTCATCAAGAAAATCAGTAGCGGCCTACCACAAGGTTCAAATCTCTCTCCACTACTATATAATCTTTACACAAATGATATCCCAACAATAAAAGATGCCTTCATCGCCTGTTACGCAGACGATACAGCTATTATCTGCAGCTCCATGAATCCAGACTATGCCACCCAAAAATTACAAAATGCAATAAACCAACTCCCCCCTGGTACAAAGGATGGAAAATAAAAAAAAAAATGCCACTAAATCAACAGTAGTCATCTTCAAAGAACGCATTCCAGACATATTTACCAAGATCTGAAATTTGAAAACAACAATATCCCCCGGAAAGCGGCTACAAAGTACTTAGGAGACCTCCTGGATGAAAAGCTTACATTTAAAAACCATATCATAGAAGCAAGAACAAAAGCTCTCAAAGCACTACTGCAATCAATATATCCACTTACTAATTGGAAGAAAATTCACCCTCTGAATATAAATACCAAAAGAATTCCTCTACCTGCAAAGCATCGCCCGATCCTATATTATTATACGCAGCACCAGCATGGGCAAGCGCCGCAAAAAGCAACAGAGAAATTCTACAAAAAATTCAAAAAAACAAAGCTTTAAGAATGATAACAAACGCACCATGGTTTGTAAGGAATTCCACCCTTACACAGAGATCTTAAAAATAAACCAACTAAATACAGAAATTCCTCATTCAATCGCATAACTTTTTTCAAAATTGGACAATGGCAAAATATGACGATCAGTACTCAGAAAAATAGGAAAATATGACTACACAGTATCTCAGCCCTTTAAACGGCCAAGAACAATCCATCATAACAGCAATTGGTGATAAATCAACAAGCGACCGGTAGCTTAATGGGATAAACCCCTACCACTGTGCCATGCAAAGTTAGTACACCCTAAGATCAACGGTTCGACCCTCAGCGGAACCTTAAAACGCAAAGGACTTGTAAATATTAAGAAAAAATTTTCTTTTTACATATAATCAGGAAAAATAAATATCAGGAAAATAATTGTACATAAAAAATTCTACATATAGAAATCCAGAAAAGAAAAATAAGAAGCAGAAAAATATTATTATATATATACAGATTTAAAGATATGAAAATAGAAATTATCTTAATATTTTAAAAATATTGTAGGGCAGAAATTAAGTGAAAATTCACGAACTTGTATATTTTGAAAGGACTTGTATTAGAAATCTAGCATATAATCAAGAAAACTACTTTTAGGAAAACAAATGTATATAAAATCGTGAAATTTACTATCTAAAAAATTATTAGATGAAAATTCACACACAAAAATAGAATCCACAGCTGCTTAGTACAGCCATAGAGAATTTCTTTCTGTCCTGATTATTCAGGTATTTTACTTCAGATGATTCAGTCCATACGGAATCAAAAATAGATTGGTAAAGGCCCTCACAGGTCGTACACCTCTCATAAACGCGACGGTCTATGGTCTATGGTCCTGCTGTAGTGGCTCTTCATGCTAGGCCGGTATTCCAGACGTCCTGGTTCGACTGAGGGCGAAGGTGGTTGCTAATTTTTCATCTCTCTTGCTTCCAAAAAAGTACCTAATGTCTCTACAATACTTGTTTTAATTTCTTACTCGTTCCCATAGGATTAGGCTAAAATTTCAGAGTCCATTTTATTTTATTCCTATGACAGAGCGAGTAAAAAATTTGATTACTTTTGCAACATATGTAATGCAGAGTAATGTGCAATACGCTTTGTTTTTATTTTCTTAAATTTATATTACCGTTTCCCGGGATGTTCATCAGAAATGAAACAGTAAAACAAGACACTAGTATATAATAATTATAAATATTTAATTAAAATATGAATAATTACGTATTACATTATCTGATACATAAAACATTAGCTTATAAATAATTTAGTTGAAATATACATTTATTAACCAATGAAATTTGAAAAAGCCGCAGCTTATTTATTTTAGATGAAGTTTATCATTTAAATGGACGGTATTTTTACTCATTACATTATATATACAGATTTTATTCATTAAGTATCCCGTAAAAGGATAAAAATTACATGGCATCGAAATTGTTTATCTGCAATGATAAGATAATGAAGGGAATTTCGGAAAATGACTTTTCTTCGTATTCTAGAAATCCAGCAAAGCTTTACTTCAATTTCAACTTTAGGTTTATATTTTGTAACAGCATTACTCTGCAATGTATTTTTGCCTAAATTCTAGCAGATAAAGTAGCATAAAAATTATTTCAATACGAAAATAATCTAAGATATAAATAGAAGTTAAAGGATAATATTCCTAGAGAAAATTTCGAAATGTAGTAAAATTTGATATTCGGGAAACTTTGGGAAATCACCTAAAATTCTTCGGAATTCCTACAGCAATAAGATTACTACTCTTACTTATAAATGCATAATTTATGCATTAAACTTAAATTTCTGTATTGGTATTTCACGAATATTGTGTTATATGTAGAATTCGTTATCGCCGCAGCAAATTTTTATACAAAAATATTGTATTTCCCTCTCTGTTTAATATTATACTCAATATTTCGTGAAAACGTTGTATTTCCCACTTTATTTAAATAAAAAATTAAAACTATGATTCCCGACTATTCGATCCATCATCTCATAGAAAACAATTATAATGAAAAGAAGAATTTGAATCCTGAGAATAAGTATTCCAGTTTATTTACGAAGTGACGTTCGTTTCTACTTTAACAGTATAATCTATCATATTTCAGAGAAAATTTACAAACCTTTGATGACAATATCCATATCTTCTGGATCTGAGAAGTATTTGGGATCAATCACCGGGGGATCGTAAGGATCTGAAGACTTGAGAGTAACTGTTCCTCTTCCTTTTGGATGCAAGATCTGAGAGGCACACCAGTAGAAAGAAGAGTTCTCGTACGGTCCATAGATGGCTTCATAGTACTGAATGAAAAATTTTGAAAAATACGAAATCCTTCCAAAATACGCAACAGGTATAGTAAGAAACATCTTTTATTTATCATAATAATAAAGAAAATATTTCTGATTGTCAGTTGGATATGGTCTAAATTAAATGTACAATTATATAGCTCATTAAAATACATGACTAGCTTTTGGCAAGTAAGCCATCTGTCGTCTTGCCCTTTTTAGTGTTTCTAGTTTAAGAATTAACACTACACGCAAGAGTTTTTATTTTAGCGCAAAAATTTATATGCTGTTAAAAAGGCTTGCAGAGAAAGGGTAAAATATTTAAAAATTATGTTTCTTGTTAAGTTTTTTTCCCACTCATTGCTATTTAGCAACAGCACGTATTCACTAATAACTTATCTCTCACGACTATTATTTAAACAGTAATAATTACAAACACAAAATATATCTTTAAATCAGTTTTCCAAGCTCAATATTTTATCAATAACGAAGAGTTTCCTCGAATATTTCAGGAGGTAGACTTTTCTTTTGCAAGAAAGGTTGCTTTGCATATCTCATCTTCTCCTTACTCCATGAGACATCATCATACTTTTTTTGATGCCTGAGTTTGAACAGACGTTCCTGGAACACCACTGATAGCAGTTTCATTCTAAATTCTTTCATTTGATATTCTTCCTGCAATTTCTGACAGTCCATGGTGAGAAAATACAGGGGCAGAATCAAGTGCAAGAATCTGAAGATTCTTTTTGGATTATAACATTTACTTTAGAAGCAATAAGATTTACTGCGTCAGCACTTGTTTCTGCGAATTTTTCGCTACTGTCATACATTTTATCTTCCCCTTTCATCTTCTTTTTGTTACTTGGTTCTAGCATTAAAAACTACATTTCATCAGTTATTTAGACAAATTAACGATCCTTTTAGACAGCATGTACACATTCTCTTGCGAGAAAAGGTTGCTCCGCATACTTCATCTTCTCCTTATTCCATAACATATATCATAATTTCTTTGATGCCTTACATTCTAAATTCCTAATCTTGATATTCTGCTTTTATTTTCTGACAGTATAGAATCAGGATTGCAGGAATCTGAAGAACCTTTTTATAACATTTACCTTAGAAGTAATAAGATTTACTGCTACAGTATTTGTTTCTGTGAATTGTTTGCTATTGCCATGAATTTCGTCATCTCCACTTTCATCTTCTTTATCACTAGGCATTAAAAACCAAATTTTATCAGTTACTTACATTAACTGCTATCCTCTACGAAAATATGAACTTTTTTACTACTCATTTTAGTTCGTAATTCATAAGCAATGTATAGAAACATGGAAATAGTGGGAAATGCGTGAGAAATGAGCAATCACCTTAGGTTTATCATAAAACTTTGAATGCATAAAGTTTAGAAACAGCAGCATAAAATTTTATTCATCCAGAGATATAGTCATGAAAAAAGTTGTCATTTTTCCATTTTTTTTTATGTTTCTCCCAGACATACACAATATTAAAATAATTTTAAAACATAAAAGTCATCTCAATTTTGAAATATATTACGAATGTAATGTGCATAATTTAGTAACACTGTTTACAACGCCATTAATTACATTTCTGTACGAATGAAACGCGTCGCAACATCTATGAATGCAAGTCAAGCTCAAAGATTATAAGGTATTTTCTCCCTCCTTTCAGCATGTCTTCGTGGTGTAATGATAGTATACTCGGCACGTATTAGAGAGGTCCAGGTTCGAGTCCATTGCTCATTTTCACCCCTCCAGCATGAATAAAAAAACCTAATGCCGATACAAGAGCACATATGAATAGTCAATAGATGAATGGTGTTTCTAATAAGAACCAAGCCTGAAAATTGTAATCTATGAATACATTAAAATATACTAATACCATGTAGTTAGTGAGTGGGTGCACCGCTATGACGGCTTCCGGCAACGGACATGAATCAAACGGAATTATATGCCATAACCGCAGGGAAACCTCCAAAGTAACAAGATTGAATATTACATACTAATAATAGTTTGATAACTTCAGGCACCAAGCGTTAATCTGGTTATCTGCTTTAAATTCACCATTAAGTGCAAAGCATCTGTTTAAGTGTTGTCTATTCGTTAGTTATTCCGTATCTAAAAGAGAATTCCTGGTCTATTATAAAAAGATGAGAATTCAGACGATCAGTTCCGTTAAAAGGTGTTGCAACCCAAACAGAATCTTGGATAGTATGCCCCTTGAAACGGTAAAATTGTAAAGGATTTCGCTCAGCTTTAAAGAGCTACGAATTATCTGTATGTTATCTTGCTAAATTCTATGTTTATCAACCTATTAGCAGAATGAAATGTCATTAAATATCTGGATTCTTGATACATAGTCGTTTCGTTTCTTCTCCGAAATCTTATAAAAATCCTAATGTTCTAGGTTAAACGTGAAAATTTGCGTCACTGATTTTTATACTCATTATTTTATAGAAAACAGAAATCGATCTACAATTCTTGCCGACTCACAGCTTTTACACTGCAAGGCTGCCAAATTATGACAAATTTTAGATGTTAATGAGATGAATGTTGAGATTACAATTTGATTACAGTTGCTTATTTTGTGGGCAAATAATTACCTCTGGTTTGATGTTTTGTTGAGTTTTTGCTGGACCTACGGCTGCTTCCCAGATATACAGCTGATAATCAGGATAATCTCCAGGAGCTTTAGGCCCATCCTTGTCCAAGAAAGCTATATTATTTACACCTTGAACCGAGGTGAGCGGTCCTAGGCAAAAAAAGTTAAACCAAATGATTATTCTCAACTGATATGCTTATTATACAGCATGTCTTTAAAATTCCTAGGTGGGTTTTTGTTTAAAGCTGAAATCTAAGCAATGCGTTCAGTCTTCTTTATATGAGAGCTAACTTATTGTGTTTTACTTTTTAGAATGAGTATACAATTTTCTTAAATACGGACTTAAGGATCCGTAGAAAAATTAAAATTTTAAAAATGCCAGAGTGTAAACACTTGTCTTACTTAATGCATTTTTATAATTCTAGTTGTACGTTTACATCCAGCAATTGCGAAAATAAAGGCTATCTGAGGACTTTTATGGACAGAAGCCTTATTAATAAATTATAAGGCTTGTTTGATAAATAAGTGAAATTGATAAATAAGTAAATAAGCTGTTTTGATGTATGCAGAAATAAAGAAAAAATTATTGAATTTATTGATACAGTAGTTAATTGCTCATATTATACACATTTGGCTTGTAATCATTTTTACTGGAAAATAAACAGATATTCAAATTTTAAACTTGAATAAATTAAGCAACATATACCTTCATCACTAAATGTTTATTATTTAAGAAGTATTATTGATCAATTTCTTTCATCGCCGTGAACATGCAGGGCGCCGAAAGGAGCTACAATGAACAGTATTTGTTACTACGAAACGCTGGAAAATTTGAAGATGATCGAGGACAATCGATTCAGAATGCCCTCTCGAAACATTGCTCTTTTGTAAGGAAATACGCTACGCACAGCGGCTAACAGTTTGACCAGTATCCGACACGTCCTCTGAGGTGTGTTTCGCCAATCTCCATACTTTCCCTTCTATTTTGACAACGTAGAGAGCCTCGCCCTTAAAGGTGAAGCATTTTGCGTTGGACATCAAAGTGCAAAATGCATTTTATTCTCGGCTTCACTACTGGCAAGAAGTATTCTACGGACAAAGACTAGATACTAGATACTAGGACTAGATCTACGGACTAGATAGCGTGTCTGTGGAACCTACGTGTCAAGTAGCATGTAGAATATATCAAATTAATGATATCACTTCTAGAATCACAGGGAATAAAGTCCACTTAATTTATCAGATAACTCATATACAATAAACGCTGCAAATGTTTATAAAAATTACCTCTTACATATGCTATAAATTGGATATACTTTAATCTGAATCAATTAAATGTATTATTAAACGATTTTAAAATTCAATCAAAATCTTCCAAGCAATTTGAGTTTTTTTCAATTCTCGACATTTGTCTCAAATGAAATGTGTTTAAAACATATGAATTACATGCATAGTGAATTAAAATAAAGTTAAACCGCAGTCGTTTTTCATCGGTACGAGGCGATGAACTAAATTTACAAAGTTTATTGAAACGACACGAGTTAATCGTCAAGGCTGACGATTAACTCACAGGTTATCACAGAGAGTTACTAAAGTCTTAGTCACCGAAGGCTTATAGGTTCACGGCCTCTGATGTTAAGCGACGAAATATATTTAAATCGATTATTAAAATTAAATTTAATTGGAGAAAATTAATGACCGTAAAAATCACAAATTTCCTATGAAATTACTATCACCAGTTTGAATAGTACAATTTTTTTTTTCTGCAGTGGCAAGGCAGCGAGGATATGTGCATGGTAGAGTAAGATTACATAATATACACTTCACAAATTTCGGAAAGTGCTAAGAACATTTCTAGCTTCATAAGTAAAATAAACACAAAATATAAATTAATAATAAAAAAAAAAAAAAAATCTGAAATGTTTCAGATTTTAAATTACGTCCAAAGGGGCGTTTTTTAACATTTTGTGTGTTACCTTTCTTTATTAAATATCATGTTCCTCGCACTTAAACCATAAGATCCAGTGCAACAGCAATATCGCAAAATAGTTTTAAAACGAGCATATCTTTAGAATTTCCGATACAGAGACTCACGCGCTGGATATAAAAATGTTTTTTCTGCACAACGTTGCCATTGCTCGCTTTGAAATCCTTGAGTTTGTTAATCAAAAATTCGTCAAAGTTTTAAAAAATAGGAAATCGATCATAAAACAAATTTCAAATTTCAAATTTGGTCTTCCACATGCTCATATTCGTTGGAGGATTACGTTATTCAAAATTCGATGACTCTATGTACCGTTATTTTATGACAATGTGAGAAATATACATACATTTACGCAGATTTTCATTACTTAATTTCTTCAAATATAATGCAGGACTCTAACATTTTATGGCAGCAGTTTGAAAAGTGAACCGACATTTATCCGTCCGACGCAAAATGCCAAAACGAAATAGTCCTTCGGGATTCAAATCCCTTAGGACTAATAAAAACGTGCATTTTAATGCATTTCAGGTGTTCCATTTGTTACGCAACTATAGTAGTAATTTAGAAGACAAATTGAAAATCTTATGCTACCTCAAAATGCAACACAATGCGAGCTGATTATTTGTTAGGCCACGTGGATGATAAATGATGCGGTGTGATAAAGTTACATAACATAATGGACCCGCAAAATTGGAGTAAGATATACATATTTCTGATGCCAAAATAATCCTTTAATTGCATGCTTGATGTCTGCTGCATTTGGTACAGTTATTAAATAAACACTCACCTGTTTTTGAGAGTATATAATCCCAAATGCTTGACTGGTCCTTTTGCTTCTCCTCAAATGGTTTATCATTCATTTCATATGGTAACACAGTGGCCCAATGATCTTGTAAATTACGGCCGACAGGTAAATCTGCCACTAGTGGTATCTGAAACAGTTTCTGAATCCTGAAAATTTGCATCTTGAATAATTAATTCTTAGATATTCAGTTCAATATTAAAGCTTAAAATTAAAAACTTTCCTATTTTCGATCACTTCTACCTTGGGGAAAAGAAGGAGGAAATAAAAGTGTAGAGAATAGCTCGTTTCTTTGGTTTGGTTAGGTTAGTTTGAATTAATTATGACAAAACACACTAGGGCTATCTGTCAAAGAGGAGGGATACCTCCATAAGGAATTTCTACAGGAAACTGGGACGTATATACCTTAGATTTTCGGACCAGGAGACATGAAAACTTCATTATTGTCTTGCTGAGATCCACACTTAAAATACTCCATTGCTAGTTGCTGATTATTAAAATAGATTAGAACTTAAATAATAGTAATACAGATAAATATCTGACTGCCATGACTTTGTAATATAAGCAAGACAGTGTGAATAACATAGTCAGTAGGTAAGAGGTTTAAGTGAACCCTAACGAGAAGGAGTGTCGTTAAGTTGTGACCTCAGTGTAACATCGATACGTCATGTATCTGAGATTGATTCATAAAAACCAAGAATTTATTCATAAAAACATGCATTGACGTAGATTTTATTTTAGCAAAAGCCCCTTCAGCAAGTTCTTTTTCTGCTAAAATGACAGGATTATACGTAATCGAACACAAAGATTCGAATTTTGTTTTCCTTGTTTCTGCTTTAGCCAGAGGATGCTGGTTCATCGAAACAGATTTCGTAGGCCAAACATCTCGAAGCTGCGTTATCCAAGATGGTCCTTCCCATCACAATGTTAAGATAGAAAGCTTTGCTTCTGAAATAACCACATGAAAGCTGACTTGCTGGATTCTGATTACCTGCGCATGACGTCCCTGTGCTGAAGAAGTGTATTGCCTGATTTCAGTAATACGATTTCAGACAAAAGTTTTTCAACGGTTAGGATCCCCTCGAATCCAACTTAGAGCTACAGTGCAGTCATTCGCATTCTTTGCTGTACGATTGTCTAAGCTAGTATTCTAAGCCAGCGTAAAGAAAAATATAATCATACTTGCGTCTAATTCGAGATAACAGGAGCGTAGCTGTTCGAAATGCTGCATCTGTCATTCGGCACCAAATATTGTGTTTATATAAACATTTTATTTCCGCTATTATCCATGCAACTGATCTAAACATAAATATTTCGTTCTTACAATTTTGTGTTGCCAGATTCAAAATTAAAATCAAACCCCGCGAACGTGACTGACATCACGTGATTGTCTATCGACTGACCGGAACAGTAGAAATGTCAGCAAGTGCAAGACGACTGCAAGTGGCTAATGCAACTTCCTTCCAGAATACTAATAGAATTGACAAGGCTCGATTAATTAAAGTTAATCTGAGCGGTCATTCAAAGGAACCCGCATACTAATTTTTTTTTGAAGTTTTTTCTGAGTGAAAGCAGAATTATGCAAAGTTAGACAATGATTTTTGTGACCCTCTTAAATCTAATGCCCTAAGCTAGGGTGGTTATCATATCCTAATGGTGTGTTTTCCTAATATTGTGAACAGTGCATTTTTAGCCAATATGCAATCTGCACGCTGTCATCATCATTCGAATTTTAAACAAATGTTTTATTTATAGTTGTTAAACGTTTTGACAACATCATTCGTAAAGATTTTGATAGGTAAAAAAACTTCCGTTTTTACATCTCTCCTTCCAGTGCACAAAACTATTCACGCTAACATAAACTTAAAATAATGCAAATGGTAAATTTTATTAAACTGCTTATGCCGCTTCAGAGACTTTTCAAAGATATACATTTTGGTTTTTTAAATCCAGGGCACCAGATACTGGCTACACAAATTCTGGTAAAAAATTCCATTAAAATTTTTTCTTTCGTAAACAGACGACATTTTAAAGAAAGTAGGTTGAGAAACCTTAGAGAACATTCCCGTCAGTTGTTATTTGGCTGAAAATGGTTGAAATTAAATTCGCTCTTAAAACTAACTCGTTATAAAGGATGCGGTATTTGACGTTACCCATTTTAAAAGTAGGACAGCCACCCAATCTGGATAACAAGTATCGACGCTAACTGCCGTGCCGAAAGGCCCAGGTCCGAATTTCGAAGAAGGCTGTTTGCAAATATATAATGTCTGTGCGGCATGCGGGCATTCTAAATATGCGGCTAGCCGGCCGGAAGTCCTCTCCAGAGGTTGGGGAAAGAGGGATACCCTCGGATCCATCTCCACGGGGTGCTCTCCTTCAAAACTGGGGGTGGAACTGAGTAAAGTCGTACTGTTACCTGTGTGGTGTTTAAGGCTCTTGCCAATGACCGGCGCAATCTTGCACTCCTTGCCAGGATGAATTTCGTAGGCTTGATTTGATGTTACTGTCAGACAAGCGAGATAAGTCAGAAAGGCAAAAACAAAAGTAGGATCGCATTTTGTTCACAGTAATAAATACAAGCATAAATGGTTAGGCATATTGAACATGGTTAGATACTCTTGAGGATGCCAGGACATTCCTGCCATCTTCCAGATCCAGTTTCCATGTTGCGAAGTATAGTGTCTTCCGTCATAAGACCAACCTCGTGACTAATTTGAACTGTGTTCAGTTGTATTTAGCGCTGTACGTGACAAATGTATTTATTGCCTTACATTAAAAATAAGTAACATTAAATACCACCCTCTGCATATAGGCATATAAATTCACTTGGTAAAATACACGTGTAAATTGTGATGCCGAATACGTACTTTATGACGATAAAAATTAAAAATATACGTGAAGAACTCTTACGTTAAATTTTTCAAGTTCTTCTTGAGGACCAATACCGGACAGCATCAGTAGCTGGGCAGAATTCACAGTTCCAGCGGAGAGAATGACTTCCTTGAAAGCCCTCACTTCGCGTTCCTTGCCTTCAAAATCGAATATGACACCCTGGGCTTGGTGATTATCGATAATTATCTGAAAAATAATAAAAGGACAGTCATAATGAAAGTAGCTGTCATAAAGTAATTTTTTGTATTTTAATTACATTTTCAAATTCAGAAATTAATACAAAAATAATATCTTTTCCTCTTCCTTTTTTTATTTGTTTATTTATAACAAAATATCGATATTTTTTAAAGTATTGATAACTTTTTTAAAATTGAAAATAAATTCCAATTTTCTTGGATATCAATTAACAACACGATATATTTTAATGCGTAACTTACTGTGTGCTATCCGTTGTATAAAGCAACTTTCCTTGCTGCTCAGAAAGGAAAAATTAAGGATTTCACGCATGATTTCTGCCGTGATAGGAATGGCTTTATATAAGAAACAGGTTGTTATTTTCGTCACATACGAAGGAAACCATGAACCGTTATCCCCGTGTCTAATATGAGATACACTAAAGTAATGCAGTAAAACTTTGATTATAAAGACTTTCTTCGAGACGGATAAGATAACAGGCGAATAACAGAAACTTCTCCAACGACCATCGAAACCAGATTCAAGCTATCGATATAGAAAATTCATTTAGCCATAATACATATAAAAATCAAGATTAGAACTGACTAAGCAGCTCTTACATCTCAGCTTCTTAGCAGATCTTATAAGCTCTTAGTTTGCTTATTATGCGCAGTAAAATTACAAATGGGATTAATCCGAATTTTTCTCTAATACGAGTACGAGTCCGAGATTAAAAGTTTCTGAAATCTGTCGAATCCTTCATATAAGAATAAGAAGAAAAAGAAACTTTTACTTAATATTAACATTTTTTAAATAAAGCAAAATCTGGAATCTAATTTTAATAAAAAAAAAATCACTAAATTTTTAAATTTTTTTTCCCACAAAATAATTTTGAAAAAAAAAAAAAAAAAAAAAAAAAATACAGCGAGTGAAAGTTCGAGTTCTTAGACTTTAAAAAAATCAAATCAAATGTGTAGGAAGGATTATTTAAGAGTAAACACAGATAAACATCAATATATCTAAATTCTTTCCAGGAATTTCGAAAAATAAAAAAAAAAAAAAAAAAAATTTTTTGTTTAAAGAATTCATAAAAGTATACATGCTTTATTGCAGTCAAGCCCTTCATGAAATGATACTGGTGATCAGGTTACCACCGATAATGTATTAATAGCAATCTGTTTTAATGAACGGATCTAGTGGCATTCTCCTACTTTCAGCGCTCTATAGCAACTAACTCAGACAGTCGGAACAAAACTTGCAAATCCTGCAAGTTAATCAGCGGCGCATCCAGCGGAACTTGGAGCTTGGAACTGAAAAAAACTAATTCTTTCTATGTGCTAAAATAGTTGATATTTTAGTTAAATTTCGAAAGATCAGAGTAATGAAAAATGCACCAAGATTCAAATATTCGAATCTTAAACCTTCTTCAAGATTCATGTGATTCAAAGTTTCGAATGTCAGGTGTCTAGTAAAAATATATTCGAGAGAAATCCAAAACATTCTCTAACCACAACTAGATAAATATCAAAAGAGTGGACGAATGACCCTGCAGTTGGCAGACGTACGGAGTGACAAATTTTTAGAGTTTACGGAAGCACAAGAAAGGCAGAATTTAGGAGCTGTAGAGTTTGCTGGCGGCATAATACCTGGCCTAAAGCCGACCCCGGAATTTAAGAGCTGCAGATACATGGAACCAAAAATTTTATTTAATAACTCTTACGCCATCCGGTAAGGCCAGTAAATTTTATCGAGCAACATAAGGCTTAACGTCAGTCCTGAATATCAAATGTCTTTAACATGACTCATCCACATTGCCTTTTGCTTATTTTCTTTTCTTATTGTTGTAAATGGACATCAATTTGTAAAAGAAAATTTCCTTCTGTATAATATTATTTGATAAAATACACCACTGTATTTTAATATTCCAGCCTTTTATTCTAATGCAATGATAAAACAATTAATCTTCTATTGTGCAATATCAACTGTTTTAAATTAAGTTTTTTAATTTTAATTTCTATTCTTTTTACCTCCTCCCAAAATATATATAGGTAACAGAGTACTATTTCGATAGGGAGTTTACAGTAAATCAACTTCAATTAGGATCCCTAAAACACGTTTTTAATAATTTTACAATGATGCCTGTCCTTATGTGTGTATAAAGACTTATTCGCCCTCGATAACTCATCATATGAAACTTCCAAAAAATTTTATTTTTCTATTCTATATTCATATTTAAATACTATATTTTACATTACATTTTAAATATTACATTTACATTTTACATTTATTTACATTACATTTAATACATATACATTTAAAAACATTAAAGTATTTTAAAATTTACATTTAAAAGCATTAAATGTGTTTTTGTAATAATGCTAAATGCAACGAGAATAAGAACGTTACGAAGACGAACTCTCGTTATCAAGCAATTAACCGTATCAGCCTCAATCCTTAATTTTGCGTCTATTCACGTGTCAAATAGAAGGATGCCACTACAGCAAATATAAAAATTACAGCGAATATAAAAATGTATAGCAGCAACTAACATTCTATTACGATTTCTAAAGGTATGCTGATTTTTAATATTTTGTCATACTGTTGTTCAGTTTTATGTAGCATAAGTGCAAAGAAAGTAATTTTCAATAAATAAAGCTAATATCACAAATAAAAAGTTGGTCATCTTATTAAAAAAAACAGAACACTGATATATATATATATATATAAAATGAAAAAAAAAAAATCTGAAAGGTTTCAGATTTTAAATTACGTCCAAAGGGGCGTATTTTAACGTTTTATGTGTTACCTTTATTATTAAATATCATGTTCTTTGCACTTCAACCATAAAATTCAGTTCAATAGCAATGTCGCAAAATAATTTAAAAATGAGCATATCTTTAGAATTTCCGATACAGAGGCTCGCGCGCTTTAGATAAAAAGGGTTCCCCCCCCCCCCCGTAGAGGGTTGCCATTACTCGCTTTTAAATCCTTGAGTTTGTTACTCAAAAATTCGTTAAAGTTTTATAAAATATGAAATCGATCATAAAACAAATTCCAAATTTCAAATTTGGTCTTCCACATGCCCATATTCCTAGGAGGATTACGTCATTCATACCGTTGTTTTATCACAATGCGAGAAATATACATACATTTACGCAGATTTTTCATTATTTAATTTCTTCAAATATAATGCAGGAATCTAACATTTGGTGGCAACAGTTTGAAAAGTGAAACGGACATTTATAGTGATTCAACACAAAATCGCAAAACGAAAACAATAGTCCTTCAGGGACAAAGCCCCTTTGGACTAAAAAACTGAGAAAATACCGAGAAAGAAATGTTAGCAACCCTTAACACTCTATCTAAAACTCTAAATAAATGCAGTGGTTAAAAATTTTGTGATTGTTAAGTCATTGATTTGTGAATCCCAAACATTACATGACCTGAGAATATACTGCGATCAATGAGACATTTTCATCCCCAAATCATGGGAATGGATGCGTATAGTTATCATTGCTCATTGTATGGGAGAACAGAATAATAAAAAATGAGTATCGTTTATAATTAACATTGAATCAAATAGATTAGATTTAATTTACAAGCGATCAAGCAGAAGTGATAGTTTACTGAAAGCTCCTTGTTATTCTGCAAAGGGAGGGCATGCGCTGCCCACATCAGATTTTGTTTTTCCTTTCATTCGTTTTTTTCCCTGCGGATTCAATACATCTATTGGACTGTCTCAGCGAGAGACAGATAATAGAAATTGGCAGTTAAAAGTGTGGCGAATAATGAAGTTCCCACCGTTTATAACATTTTAAACAGTTTTATTAACTACAATAATGCTGCAATTGTTCTAAAAATTACCATTTAAGTCTGCTAGAAATTAAATGCATTTTTAAATCTCATTAATCAGATATATTATTTAATTTGTTAATAAATGTTATTTACTGCATTTTAATCTCTCTATCTAAAACGTAATACATGCATAATTTGGAAGATATATACGTAAAAAGGATACAACAAAATACGATGGATGCTTTAAAAATAATTGGCGACCTCAAACTTAACTATTCTAAATTTAGTGTTATCCCCTAAATTCATCTGTTCTCCCAATTTCGAGATTCTTCCATGTTATATAACAACCTAAAATTAACCAATCGTAGCTTATCTCTACAATTGCATCTAATTTGGTATAAATACTGCTGGCGATTTAATTACGTCATTCTTCATTTACCTAACTGCTGTTCTGCGAATACCGCGCTGCTTCTCTTCTCAAATGCCTACATCATTTCTTTAAAAAATCAATTTACATAGAAATTTATCATATTTAATTATGATTGAGTAAGTGTCTGTCAAACTAACTGGATATATGTGAAAGTAAAGGTTGGTAATTTATAAAAAATCAGTTTCATCATCTTCGTCTAAACGCATTCAACTTTCCGGTCATGACTGTTGAAAGCTGTTAAAGTGTCGGATTCTTCTAACGCATTAAATCATCACATATATATAAGATCTTATGCCAGATTTAATGGCAGTACTGTGGGATCTGGATATTTGCCAGGCCGCCTCGAAAATAAATTTTAGATGATAAATGACATGATAGCATAAAGTAACTGCTCAAAAGTTTAAAAAAAAATTGATTTACTGTTAGTTTTGCTTAGAGCACTAAAAACATAAACAAACAAACAAACAAAAAAAAATCTGTATTGTCCCGTTCGAATCTTTCCTACTTCAGTCTTTCTGGAGATGGTAACAAAATCCGCGTCACTGCAGTTTTTTTTAGCTTTTACAGATTTTAGGGTGAGAACATCAAAAATCCTGCTCTTTCAGCCATTTTTTTCTATTCTTTCCTTTGTATTGTAATATATTAGTTTATTATATAGTTAAATATACTAGTTAGAAAACATATTAGTTTGGGGGGACAGCAGGTGTTCAAAAAAGACGCTGGATGAAAGAATAGCGTTTTATCTTGTGTTATTACTTCATACGAAATTTTATGACATTAATGTTGTATATTTTATGACATTAATGCCAATGACATTAATGTTGTATAAAACAATGTCTGAATCCGAAGAGCAAACTATCATTGTGACATTGCTTTATACAGTCACTTCCTATTATACGAGTATTTCCTCTTCAGTATGGATACTGAATGGAAAGATTAAAAAAAAAAAAAAAACTCTTGCATACCTCAATAATAAGAAGCTGAAATAGAACTAATTCCAAAAATAAGGAGAAATCTAGGAAAATCTGAAATAGGACATAATTCAAATTTCCTGCTACGCTGCAAATATTTAAAGGATTAATATGTTCTGTAGAATATAAAAAGTTTTCGTGACTAAATTTTAATTGGAAATCGTTGGTGTTAAGTGAACATCAAATTATTACTCACCTTCTTCACAAAGGCTTCGGCGACAATATCGAGATTTTCTCTGTGATCGCTTGGCACTAAATAGGCCTTTGCGGTACTGCAACGCTGGCCTCTACGAATGGTTGCTTGCAAATCATAGAAACCTTGGTAGAAAAGGGGGACAAATAAATAAATCATCAATTCTTACAATGACTTACGTGTAAATTACATGCAAAAAATTAGTCAGGGCCGGCTCCATCTAGGGCGATCTAAGCAACTATCTAGGGCGCAGATTTTTGGAGATCATCTGCCAAGATGTTCTTGCCCTGGTAAAGCAACAGAAATGAATTTGCAAAATAGTTTATTGTATGGTAAAGCGTGGTAAAAATAGAAACGATTTTTGAATATCTTGATGCGGAACTTTAGTTTCAAACCAACTTTCTAAACGCGTGGCGAAATTCTTCATTCATCATAAATGTTGGACTTTGAAAAGCTATAGTTGAAAGCCCGAGACTTGTCAGAAACGTTAAATATGGAACTTTATTCTAAAATCAATATTTTTTAGAAAAAGAAATAAACTTTCGTCTAAGAATAGTAGTATAACAAAACTTAAACAAATCTAGAAAAGCAATTTCAAAAACATTTCTTTAATACAGAACACCATTTTCAAAGAAACAGAAATTTTAATAATTTCTTTATGGTCTTGGAAAACTGAATAGGAATTTATTAGAGGAAAACTTCAAAAATTTGCAGCTCGCTTTTACGCAAACAACACCTGAGCGTATAGTAAATAGCTTTCACTCTGAAGCTAATGCTGATGGCTATCGAATCGCATACCTTACATGATGCTATTTCAGAAGAATCCAAAAAACATCAAAATAAGTTGCTTCCTACATTCGTAGATACTCTTTAAAAGGTACTTATTTTAGCATATTTGTAGTTCTATGAATGTTCGTGATATTCCTAGTGTCTAGAGCAAAGAGGAATTTTCCAAAGCTAAAATTGATAAAAACTTGTTTGATACCATATTAAAATCAAGAAGGCTTATTTGTTCAAGAATTACTGTATAATGGTATGTCATTGCTTGAAACAATAATGTGCTTAATTTACATGGAGCTCTAACTGAAATGCTGCTGGAGGAAGTTAAAAACATTGGAGGCAGGCATGATCTAATATAAAATAATCGTTGTAAATTTGTACTCAGAAACAAATTCTAAATTCTATTGTATGAATTAAAATGCAGTCGAATGATTGTAGTTTAAATCATATTAAATTACTCATATAAATAATTCATATATCAATTATCCGTTTCGGAATGATTATGTGTTTTCCATTCTGCCTTCAATATTTGCTACTTCTGACCTCATTTTCGAAATGACCAAAACTGAAGAAAGTAGGAAAAATATTTAAAAAAGTCAGTATGGGACCTAACGTTTCTGTACCGAGGTACGTAATTATATGGCGGTAAAAATGTTTTTCTATGAAATATAAACTGGTATGCAAAACTTAAGCAACAATGTAAAAATTTAGCAGACAGCCATGAAATTGCAGAAAAGGAGGTCTCGAGATCAGTACAATGAACACGTAAGTCAGTAGAAACGTCATGCGTATGCAAATATCAGGAACGAAACGTCAGAGGCGACGTGAGCGTACACAAAACGCGTGATGCCGGTGCGCGCAGCTCAACGGTAGAATAAAAGGAAGGACGGAGACGCAATTCAACATATTCGCTGCAAGTGCCAGTGAGTCAGTTCGTGAAATATGACTAGAAGAAATCAACTGGACGATTTCACACATGGAAGAATGATCGGAAAGCTGGAAGAGGGGCGTACTGTCACCAGTGTAGCTGCAGAGTTCGGAATCAACAAAAGTGTCGTTTCGCGCGCTTGGAAAGCGTTTCAAACCACAGGTACAGCTGTTAGAAAGGTTGCTGGTGGCCGCCCGAGGACGACAACTGCAGGGGATGACCGATATATCATCCTGCAGGCGAAAAGAGGCCGACAGTAGTCAGCAATTGCCATTGCTCAGCAACTCTGTACAGCAACGGGACGACAAGTGTCGCGGTTTACTGTGGCCAGACGCCTTCACAAAGGGGGCCTATTCGCCCGCCGTCCTGAACGCTGCCTCCCGTTGGAAAGTTGGCCACCGACGCCATCGTTTACAGTGGTGCAGAGAGCACAAAAACTGGACAACTGATCAATGGAGTCGTGTCCTCTTTACAGATGAGAGTAGGTTCAGTACCAGAAGCGATTCTCAACGTGTTTTGATTTGGAGAGAGGTCAGGACCCGGTTTTATCCCAGTAACATCAAGGAAAGACACCGTAACGGTGGTCCTGGAGTTCTTGTCTGGGGAGGCATTATGCTGAACGCGCGAACTAAGCTCCAACCGGGGATCGCTATTGTGAGGAGGTACTCCTTCCCCATGTGCGTCTATTCCGAGCTGCCATTGGCTCAGACTTAATTTTTATGGATGACAATGCATGGCCACATCGGACTCTTGCTGTTGAGGAGCTACTGGAAAGTTAAGATATCACTCGAATGGGTTGGCCAACGTCTCCCCAGATTTAAATCCCATCGAACATGTGTGGGATGCTTTGGCAAGACGCATTGCAGCACGCTTACATCCTCCGGAGAACACCCAACAACTTTAACAGATGCTGATTGAGGAATAGGCACTCCTACCGCAAGAAATGTTGTACCAGCTGGTTCTAAGTACGCGGAGACGGTGCGAAGCAACCATTGCAGTGAGGGGAGGGCATATCCCATATTAAGGAACATCTGCTTATTGTTCTTCCTCTTGGATAGACAATCATGAGTCACGATACTTTTTCAGTTCCGATGCTTTCGTCACCCTTTACGTACATAATTCTCTCCTTCATTTCTGCATTTCATGTCTTGTTATGGCAAAAAACGCTGCTGTTGCTTAAGTTTTGCACACCAGTGTAATAACACTGCAAATAAATTGTATCAATGTTATAAATTATATAAAATACATGTTATAAATTAAATTTATTTTCGCGTATTGTAATAATGCAGGACTCTAACATTTGGTGGCAACAGTCTGAAAAGTGTTTCGCCATTTATAGTGATCCAACGCAAAATCTCAAAATGAAAACAATGGTCCTTCAGGGACAAAGCCCCTTTGGACTAAAAATTTGCGATGCATTTATTCTCAGGCACAAGTTATCTGGCAAAGCAGATGAATTTGGTAAAATCAGTTATTTAGAACTATGTATTTAGAACTTCCCGGACGGAGGAGGTGGGCAAAAATTTTCCTATGCAAATTAGCTATTCTATTGCTTCTTTTCTAATAATATAAACAATTATTTGTGTCATTATTATATTGTTAACGTTTTCACATAATTAATATACTTTTTTGGACTTACAAAAGATTTCGCAGGGCCCTTTTGCCTCTAAAAAGCGAATAAAACAATCTATTAAAGGTTAAATAACAAAGTTTGAAAGCTGAAATGCAGTTCAATCCCCCATTGTGTTACACCGTATTTGATTCGGAACAGAAAAGAATGTAAATACCTGTTTGTGTGGGCCCGTTAGAATCCAGAACTTCATAACCCATATTTCTCGCAGCTTTGAACGCAGCTGCTTTCAGTTTGGCATGATATTCAGGACGTGAAACAGTGACAGGGCCTCCAACACCATGGTAACCTGTTAATGCATTTAAAAATGTCAGCTTCCTTGTCATAGTCAAGCAAAGCCCAAACATGCAAAATTAGCGACATTTAAAATCTGAAGACTAATCAAGAAATAAAACGGAATTAAAATACTACCGATATAACTAAAGAAGGCATACCGAGCAAATCAGTAAAATAAATATTTGTTATTAAATTTTGTGATACTTGATCTAACACTACTTCCGGAACAACTGTAGAGACGTTAGGTATTTTTTGGAAGTAAGAGAGATTGAAAAATTAGCAACGCCTTCGCCGGGAATCGAACCGCGGACCGCTCAATTACGCGCTGAGTGTGCTGTCCATGAAGGCTCGCTAAGAAGGCGGAAGAAATACCTTATATACTCCCCCTTTTAAAGGGCGACTGGGGTTTTAGGGGACCCAATCGCCAAATCCGGGGTGAGAAGTATCATCATTCAATACCCTTTCAATTCGGGCGCCACTGTAGAGACATTAGGTAATTTTTAAGAACCAGGCAAGATGAAATATTAGCAACGCCTTCGCCGGGAATCGAACCGCGGACCTCTAGAATACGCGCCCAGCGGGCAGACCAACACACCACGAAGGCACGCCAAGAAGGTGGGAGAAATACCTTATACACTTCCCCTTTTAAAGGACGACTGAGGTTTTTAGCTGACCTAGTAGCCAATTCCTGGGTGTGAAGAATCATCATCCAACACCCTTTTAGTTCGGGCGCCCCTGTAGAGACATTAGGTATTTTTTGGAAGCAGGGGAAATGAAAAGTTTGCAACACCTTCGCTGGAAATCGAACCACGGACCTCTCAAATTCGCATCGAGCATGCTGACCACTACACCACGAAGGCTCGGTAAGAAGGTGGGAGAAATACCTTATAGCCCACTAAGAGTTAAAATATTTTTATTGGCTATTATGTAGCTTATGCCAATGAAGTGTAGCTGTTTTGTTGTTTAAAGTTATTCTGTATAAAAATATCCGTTTCATCATGTATTTAAATATTATTATACGTAAAAATGGCTGTTTCATATATTTCCTTAAAATATTAATACTTCTGATTAAAGTATCAGTTGCTGTGAAAGCAAGATTGATTGAAAAATTTAGCAACGCCTTCGCCGGGAATCGAACCACGGATCTCTCAATTACACGCTGAGTGTGCTGACCACTGCACCACAAAGGCTCGCTAAGAAGGCTGGAGAAATGCCTTATATAATGATATCAAGTCATTATATGTATGGCTTGGATTATTATTTAAATATGGCAAAGCACATGAGGGATATCTGACCAAGAGGAAGGATGTCTTCGTGGAATAATTTTCTGAAGAAAACTGGGTCGTATTCACGTTACAAATGAGGAATACCATAAAACCTATCATGCAACCAGCTTATTCGCTTAGGTTTGAACCCAACATGAACTACCAGTATTCAGAGGTCCATTCGGCCACAGATGGCATAGAATATATGTGCAGAAGACTAGAAGAGGACGCATTTTACGCGGATAGATAAATGACATCTCCTTCACTCACTTTAAAAAAAAAACTCGTCTTGAACTCTGTCATGAAATCCTTTCTGGACAAAAAAATTATAATGCCTTTCATCCAGATTAGTGCTTTGGAGACGTACGCGGACTCATTGTGAATATGTTATTTAGAGACAGTGAAAAAATTTTTTTAGATAGACTGATTCGACTGTGTAAACTTATAAAGGATATTCTCTTTCTTCACTGCATGCCTTCGTGTTGTAACTGGTTGTAACTGGCTATTGTCGAAAAGCCCGAAGTTCGAATGCCGATGAAGCATAGCTGATTTTCATATTTCATGTTACAATAAATACCTAGTCGCTCTACAGTTGCACCTCACTAACATGTAACAATGGACGTAACATGTACAATTCATCAACATCTGGATTTAGCGACTGAATCCGCTTCCTCCCTAGTCGATCTTTAAACAGCGGAGAAAAAAGAATTTTTCACCTTCCTCAGTGTGTGCTTTCGGGGTGTAAGTAGTATCCTATCGAGCCAGCAACTGTGCAAATCCCGGAAAGGCAGCGCTGAATTTTTGTTTTTTGCTTCGAAAATCCTAACGGATACTAAATGTTGAACTGCGCAGACATATCTGAATATAGTGTTCAGACTGATTCTTAACGTCTTTTTTTTTTTTTTTTTTTTTTTTTTTTTTTTTTAAATCTAGAGACTGTATGCGGGTAATATGTGGCTTTCTAGAAATGTGCTGATGTGTATGGTCTGCTCAGACGTTTCCTGATGCAGTATATATAATAATTCTCGATATGGTTTTATTTGCAGATAGCGTACAAACGGAATTTCCAGATAAAAATCTAAGGTGTTTTTATCTGAAGAGAGAGTAGGATATATTGTCACGCCTCCAACATACGAAAGGAAAGCCTGGATTCCTTGTATTGTAGGCCATCTTAATTCAGGATGGTATCATATCTGATGACTATTCGCCATTACTTTTTTCCTATAAATGTGCGCCTGGTTATACACCGGAAAAGGGAGGATGTCTTTGCGTCCTGTATGGAAAAGGGAGGATGTCTTTGCGTCCTGTATGAAGCACACAGAATTTTAGTGACTAATTGTTTTTCTTGAAAACGATCGTACAGACTAATTGTCAATATGGTTTTATCTGCAGATAGCGTACAAACTGAATTTTGATGCTCCTAGAATTTCTTCCCCCCCCTTTCTCACCTATTTTCCGGGTTACACTTTTAAAAGTATTGTTCTGGAATTATTCCCCTTCCTGACTCTATTCCTGCCTATTTTGACATATTCACTTTCTCTCTCCATTATTCAGTATCTAAAAATCCACCGCCTACTACTCATTGCTCTTCGATGCCTCTTGATAGTACCTCTCTCCCATAGTAGCAGTTGTGCTCAACTAGGAGTTTACCAGACACTCGACTCAACATGTAAAGACTAACTTGACTTCCAGTATTCGCTTGATTTGGCTTTTGCCATGAATGTGAATGGCCTTGCCATGAATTTCTATTGCTCTTCACCCATATAATGTTCCTAGATCCTAGCCATAAAGAAAGGTTATACTCTTCTCAACATCTTACATGCAAGATTGGATTCTGTTTGGCGCCTTAGTAAATACGACTGCGGTGCCTAAGCCATGTGGTTGTCATATCTCAATTGTTATGCTAAATGGTTTCATGTCTATAAAATCGCTCTGTAGAATTTACTAGAATTTTCGAATACCCTGAAACCTCGAATACCCTCACAACCGCCACCAGTGCAGCAACAGTTCTAGCCGGCATATTACCACTCCATATAAAAGGAGAGATGGAGGCAACTTTCACTAAATTGATCCACCTACGCAAAGATGCAACTTTCGCAAATACCAGCTACAATCCAGTCCAGTTCGAACACCCGTCCACTTCTACTCATACTCATCCAGCTCTCAGAGGAAGTGGAATCCACATCAAAATTGACAAGCAACAGACTCACACCTCGACACACGCACCACGGATTGGGGACCAGATCTACACAGAAGTTCAAAGCAGGAGAATGGTGTAGGCAGTGCTTTTGTGCACTATGAGAATGGCAAAATTGTACACGACTGGGAAAGACAACTTTGCACTCACAATAGCATCTTCCAGGCGGAAGTACTGGGAATTACGGCAGCAGTGCTACATCTCATAGATTACCAGATCCCACAAGCAAATATCTATACCGATAGCCTCTCAACTTTACTTGCACTTGAGAACCATCATCATGTCTCACCGCTCATACTCAGTCTCCAACACCTCCTTATGCAACACCCTCATTACCATCTCAATCTAGTCTGGGTAGATTATGGTCCAATGGGTTCAATGTGTGTAGTCATGCGAATAATGAGGGCAACGAGGCTGACACGTTGGCCAAAGATGCAATTTCCAACCCGACAGCACAACCCATCACCGTACCTGCGCCCTGCTCTTATCTAAAGAGCCTCCTATAAGAGCAAGGAATGCACCAATGGCAACGTAAGTGGACCGAATGCGAGACAGACAGATGGACTTTCACCCACCTCCCGAAAGTTTCCACCGACCGACTCTTTGCCGTAGCACCTCTCACCTACTTCATCACGGGTCACGGCCTGTTTCCAAGCTATCACAATCGCCACGGCATCTCAAATACCGATATCTGTGTCTGTGGATCAGAAGGGTCACCAGACAATTACGTATTTGAATGTCCTTTGACGGCTGCACACCATCTCCCGCTACCTACAAATAATAGAAACGCCTATCAAAGGTTCCTTAAAACGCATAAAGAAGCGGCTAATTCAATCTCCAGCATCATGAATACCATCGCGGCATTGGGCACAGACCTTTGCCTACCGTGCCTTTGCCTACCGTGCTCTGGTGTACTGACGATAAGACTAGTCCAATGGATTTTACAATATCTGGGCTTCACCACAACTGTGTGTTTAAGCTCCCGTGCCCACCAATCTAAAGTGGCAATACTAACAATTCGCAAATACATGACATCTCCTTAGTGAGATGTGTTATGCCTCCTTAATGATACATGTGTAATCCCTTCAACAGCATGTGAACAGGCATCTTCTTATGCAGTGTTAGTGAACGCTTGTGTGCCTCACAGTGCATTCATTGCTGGGACACTGCCCAATAATTAGTGCTACAACATTCTCGTGCCTTTTTATGTGTTTTTTTCATCTTGGTCTTAGCGACGCTCGCTACAATAATCAACGCCTTAGCAATCTAACTGCACTCTTCTGCACACATGAGTATTCATGAACTCATCATTCATCATTCAAGATCTACCTGTATTTATATACAACAGAACTGCCTTACACTAACCTTGTGCTCCAGCTTTCATGTGACTTCATGTACTCCATTTGTCTTTTTGTGCCTTAAGTGACTATGTGTATGTACCTGTTTTATGTGCTCTCTTTTTATGCATTTTACGCATTGTGCTTTGTGTATTCTTGCCCATGTATATAATCCATAATTATACTCTGTATTACGCACATATCAAATCACATCTGTCATTTACGTGACGTTTTGTTTTGGAAAAGCATACTGCTTTTTGTGCGACTTGGATGCATTTGCCCAAACCGGGTAATGCGTTCATATCAGGATAAATGAAAATATTCAAATATCACGTAATACAAAATACAACCTATGTTTACCATTTTTCACGTATTCCGGATTAGCATTGTCTTCTAACTTCTTGAAGTAAGGAAGCACTTCTTCGTAACTCCAGCCTCTCGCACCTTGGGCAGCCCAGTCATCGAAATTCTTCTTGTTGCCTCTCACATTCAACATGGCGTTTATGACACTGGAACCTCCCAGAGTCTTGCCACTGGGCCATGCAACTGCCTAGAGAAAGAAAGAACTATATTTATCTTTTTTTTTTTAAATTGTGTCGCGGAAAGTCTTTTGAATGTTCACCTCTCCGTCCGCATATAGGAAGATAAAAACTGTTATAACAACTACTGTTCATTATATGCTAGCATTCGCACTTCAATTGCAATAGTTTAATCGGTTTTTCTATTTCCTTAACAATGTGTCTAGCTCTATTGGGCGATGCGTTTACTTATATGGACATTCCTTTTTCAATTTTCTTATATTTTCCGACCTAAGCAAGAATGAAGAAATGGAAACTTCAGATTTCATTCTAATACCTCAAAGATGGATTTCACTAAAATGATTTCACTAAAAATATATTTAAATAAATACATAAATAAGAAATTAAAATTAACAATATGAAAAACATAAATTTCATTGATATTCTGTGACGAAAATTCATATAAATATTTCCCATTTATTACTAAATAGAAATAATATCTGCTGCTAACTATTCAAACTAAATCTGTAGTGCTAATAAAATTTAACTTCAACTGAAAAAAGTTCTGATTTTAAAAGCTAGAGTTTTAATTATGCATTTTAAATATAAAACTACATAAACAAACGAATATCAGCGTATTAAAATATGTATTATGACTTGAATAAAATTAGAAACGGTTATAAGGTTCACCCCCGCCTTCTTGGTGTAGTGGTCTGCACGCTCGGTGCGTATTCGAGATGTCCGTGGTTCGATTCTCGGAGGGAACATTGCTCATTTTTCAAGTCTCCCGCTTAAAAAAATCCTAATATCTCTACAGTGGCGGTCGAACTAAAAAACTTCTTAGCGTGCCTTCGTGGTTTAGTGATCTGAACGCTCGGCGCGCATTCGAGAGATCCGTAATTCGGTTCCCGGCGAAGGCATTGCTCATTTTTCAAGTCCCCTGCTTCCAAAAAATCCTAATATCCTACACGGTAATATACAGAAAGGCTTACAATCAAGTTATATGTTATTATTAAATTTCATCACTACGCTTAGATTTTATTTTGGATGCAGAGTGCAATTGATATAAAACAGAAATTTTGCAAGAGAGCTTTTAAACGTTCTAAGAAAACTAGTGACTACTAAGCCCCCGGTTCTCTAATGAATCGAAGAAACGAATGCATGAAATTCTCTACGGGAGGAATTGTATGATATGAGAATAGGAGGGAGAAAAAGGAATAAATCCAACTTTAAAGTTGGATATACATTTCGAAACTTGGCGATAATATTGAACGAAATCAAATAATAAACACATAATATTAAATAAAGATTAAACGAAACTAGATTCATTATTTTATTGTTTTACTTTACAGCATCATTCACACTTTGAGCAACAATCCACAAAAATAAATCATCTCATGAAATTAATCGAAAACTTCACGACGTTCCGGGTTAAAATATTGTTTGACATTAATGAACAATGATTAGATGTGCGAGCCCATGCCACATACATTTTTTTCCTCTGCCGCGTCTAATGGTTTGGTTGTGTTTATCTGACTAGGGTGCAGCCCAAGAGAGGTATCTGCCTAAGGGGAGGGATGCTTTTGTGGAGGACTTTTTAAGGCAAATTGGATCGTGTACATGTGGGGAAAACTACGAAAACGCTGAAGCAGAAAAGCCCGTTCGCCGCGACTTGAACTCTGAACCGAACTACCAGTGTTCAGCGACTTTACCGCTCGGCCGCCTGTAGGGCTGCCTTTGTTGATATAAGGTAACAAACATTAGAAAAAAATATGTTAACTGACCCGGTTTATGAGTCCAGCCCCTGTATGTTCTTGTGGAGCGGTGCTGTAGAACCAGTCAATGTCCGACTTGATGAAACTTCTGGCTACAGCAGGGATATCGGACACTTTTGGCGGAGATTTACCAGCCTCCAGCAGTAGTACCGTCACGCAAGGTTTCTCAGATAAACGGGCCGCCAACACCGATCCGGCTGAACCACCACCCACTGAAAAAAAATCGAACCACTGCATTAGGTAATTTATCTACTAAGTCTAGTGCACGCTTCAGAAGTACGGTATATATTACTATTCTAGCACCACTGGAAACCTGCACAAACAATAGAATCTGGAGTATCTAGGTAATTGGGACCATAACCACTGTGGATGATCAGAAACTCAGTTAACAGAAACTAAACCTCACATGTATAATCTGTAGAACATAATTTTGTATGAAACCAGGATAAGCCAAAAATTTCGGCATTTGCTTTTCACGGTTCTCTTTTAAATTCGATGTACTGGTTTTAGCCGACATTGAGGCTCATCTTATTTGCATATGCAACTGAATTGATAATTATTTATATTTCGCATGCTAAACATCTCGACTGCCCATAGGCTTTGGTCAATCCCGAAATTTCATTTTTTTTTGGGCTGCAATTTCGTTAAAATATACTGTTTATAAGGTGACCGAATATTTTAAATAGGAGTTAGGCATCCAGGAGAGAAGACTAAGGAACATTAACTCACCTATGATGTAGTCGTAGTTGCTTTTTATTTCAGTTGTCGTTTTAGGAGCATGCCTCTGTCCAGCCATAGACAATAGGATTAAGGAAAGAAGCTGGGAAGCCGCATATGGCGTAGGATAAGAAGCTTCCACCGTCAGATTGTAATCCATCCTGAACTAAAATTAAAACTTTATTTTAATATTAATAGACTTAAGAAAATAAATAAAAACTTTAATTCAATTCTTAAAATAGTCAGTGTCTAAAATACGTCGTAAGCTAGTATTATTTCAGGATAAATTATTCAAATCTATCAAAAATTTTAGTTTAAATGTCGAGGAACCTAGTGAACTAACTACTAAGCGAATAATCTCTCAAGTCCAAGAACAGAAACGTAAACTCCAGAAGGATTAATTACTCTTTATTTGATTAAAATAAAGATTTACAGTTTGCACCTTTCTCAGGGCTTACAACAAAGCCTCCGCTTGGGCTTAAACTCAAAATGTAAGAAATGAGGACTAACTACAGAGATTTAGCCGAAGCTAACACAATTCTAAACTAGTTGGTTCGTGATATTAAATTAGCCAGCGAAGCTCTCAAAAAGCACGTAATACGGCCCAGCGTAGTAACAGCTTAGAGAGACGTAGTCAAAAGGTAAAGGCGCGCTATTCAGGAATCCTAACTATCTCTGAAGTCAGTGGAATTCTGACTTAAATACTTTCTACTTCTCATTTGCATTTAACGCGATTCTAAAAACATTCTGGTAATTAATTGTAAGCTAGAAGAGATAGGAAAGTGGTATAAACTTAAAATAACTGTTATAAAATTATAATGCACCTTACAAGGCTTTCGAATTATCAAAAGTAAAACTCCTTCATAACCATTTGGACTTGAGGAAGGATTTCTTAGTGTACAATAATACCAGCAAATGTTTACAAAATAAGCTTCTTCGAACGGAATGGAGCATTTTCAGAGGAGAGAATGGAATCTGATCCGCATACTGATAAGATACTGAACTCATTTCTCATCATACGCCAGCAAGAAATTCGAAACGCTTAGTTTGAGGGGACATAAGTGTTAAGCAGATGCAAGGCTAAACATTCTTGTTTTATGTCAGTGTGTGCAGCACCTGTTTGCTTAATTTTACCGTTTTTTCACTTGGTGCAATGCAAAAACATCGTTTCGACAATCTTCCTGAAGTTTTTATGATATAAAAGAAGAATTTTATCGATATTGCGCGGGTCAAATCAGCATTATGAATAATAAATGTTCTTCCGAGCCATGGTGCATCTTCTGAAGAATTGTCATCGGAGCCACGGCCTGATTAAGAATAGTTCGTGTCCTAAGCAAAGAGTTTTTTGGAAGGCAACTAACACTTATTTGTCTCAGATTTCTTGAAAGGAAACATGATCATGAAAAGTTATATGATGATTTGTAGCCTCCTAATAGTAATTGAACCTTTAGTTCAGGGCCTTGCGGATCTAGTTCCTAATCTGTCTCTAACTAGGACTCTAACTAGGAGGAAAATTTTGAAACTATGTCTGTGTAGTACGAGTTTCTGTACATCGTTTAAAATGTAGTGCTAATTTTGAGGCTTGTCTCAGAAGCATTTGTACCGAATTCATATGTGTAAAACAAACACAAACATATTATGATATTGTTCATAAGCTAAACTAAGGCGCTTTTCTATGAAACGGAAACAGAACTGAACTCTTAAACTTCTCATATATTTAGACTTACCTATGAATTGTTCGATGACAGCAGATATGTCATTTATGCACTTGCATACAATTATACCGGTTTTTACAACGGACATAACTCTTGGCACTATAGTAATATGTGCGTGTTTTAAGCTTAAAACACGTACATATTACCATTTGACATTAGAAATATCTTAAACGAATTTGTTCCAAAATTTTTAGAGCATTACGTACTTTCTCCTATTTTATGTTATCATTCATATCCCTCAGAAGATATTCTGTGCAAATCTCAGAAAATATTCCAATTAATGTGAACTAATATATTTAATTTTTAAATATATCTAATTCACAAGTTTTCGCAAAATATTTGCACAATAATTTTAATTATTAAAAGATGGTTTTAACTGCATACATTAGGTAACTGTCTAGTTTTTATAAAACTGTTTAAAAATTATAATTAAATTTAATGATATTCGGCCTAGAAAAAAGAGCAAGCGATCCGGATGATTGGAATTCTAGTTAACTGGTTTCTTAGTATGTTAATGAATAGTGAACAATAATTAATGAATAGACACATACCTGGTGCAAAGCTTCGTAACTATTAAACATACTTGAAGGCGCGTGAAACAGCCTTTCGAAAGAAATTCTGGGTTAAATGGTTTTTCAGACAAGAGCATAAAACAATCAAGTGATGTTCCAAAAAACCTGTTCCGACAAATAAGGCTTTGCAAAACTGCTGTCTAACAAAACTGTTTCAAACAACGCTTCGCAGAGCAGAAATATGACATGCAAAGATAATTTCGTAATATTTTTCCGTAGTTAATGACAGCTAAAACGGTATGATTATCTCTTCTTTCTATAAAGTCTCCGAATAGTTTTGCGCTTAACAAATTATTTTTCATCATTCTGCGCGAACAAAATACGCAAAAACATCATGTTACCTAATCGCTCATTCTTCTCTCTCGAATAAAGGTTTTCAAACTATTCCGCGGAACCTATGAAAATTTGAAAGGATTTTCGAATGCAGTGTCAACCGTAAAACTGATCGTATAAAATAATTAATTAAACATTTTCCCATTGCTACTTAAAATGTTATCAAATAAATCCACTTTTACAACCTGTCTCATTAAACAATGAAAAATATGTTTGTTTGTACGTAGATAAGTATAAGTTCTTCACATTTCGTAAAACGGCGGCTTCTAGAACCATTAAATTTTGAACACAGTCTTTCATCCGAACAAATGCACATCAAGACACTAATTTTGACTTTAGAATTTATTTTTTTTATTTAAGTTCTGACGAATTTAATTAAATTTTGATTTGCAAACTCGACGATTTAAAAACAGTGCGTTGTCGCTCGGGAATATTTATGTTTCAGATTTAATAAGAAAACTTTGCTATTTAAAAAATGCGTTGCATTTGGCCAAATGTCATTTATTTGCCTTTCAAATCTAATTAACAAATTCAGCGATTTAAGAAAAATATGTTGCTTTTGTCCGAAATGATACATTTTATCCTCCATGCGCCAGTTTGTTGCCATTCGGCAAAGCATTAAATATTTTCTTTTCAAATTTAATCCGTGTGTTATTGAACAAAACTAACCAGTTTAAAATCAATAAATGCATTTTTAATATTTAGTATTATTAATTACAAGATAAACTAATGAAATTATATTAGCTGGACTCATTAAACCATTAAGAAATATTTTCTTTCTTATAATAATTATTTTAGCTTGCTGCCAGAGCAAGCAGCAACCTAAAATAGCAAGCATCATAAAGAAATAATGATAATCTTTTCATTTTTTTCCTACATAATGTCTACGTAACAGTAGTATATTTATTTCAATGTTTTTTTTTAGCTTTTTCAAGAAAGTATAAGAATCTTACATACAAACTGCAATTTTATGGATTTGCTGGGCCGACAAAATTTGAAGGCTAAGTAAAATTAATTGTGTTTCGACATTAGATAAGTCTTGACTAGATTTTAAAAATTTTAGGGCTAGAAGTTTCTAAGCTATATTAAGATTCCGCAATATTGATCGTCCATGTCAAAAGTCAAATCTTACCAACGGATGTAACAAAAAGTTTTAATTAATTTTACTATCATGTGGCTTCGCAAAAAATTAATTTTTAGAGAGCTGTCTTGCGGTAGGACATAAAATCTTTAAATTACCTTTCAGATTATAATTTCTTGAACTGACAATTTACAATCAAACTGATCAATTTTAAATTCAGTGAAAGTGAAACCTTAGTTTAGAGAAATTGTTAATAAAATTCTCTTAATTTCTAGGACTATTAATATAGGTTCCTCTTCATCAAGAGCAATAAAAGTTTATGAAAAGGTGGATATTTTGATACTATTAATATGCATTTGAGCACTGAACTAGTAGCTCAAGTATTTCTGTTATAGGCAATCATACACAGAAAAATGTTTTAAGAATAGAAACGATAAATTATTTGGTACTTACTTGAAATTTGAGACCTCGATCTAAGTGAGACACGCAGGTGTCTGAAATATATGTAATTCTGATAAGCTTGTGCCATAACACAAACAGTTACTTTTAAAAGCAAGCATTTACGAGTATTTCCGCATTCAGCATTTAAAAGCTTATCTTTGTTGAGGATTCAGTAGAAGCAGCAATTTTTTTTCCAGTAGATAAATTATCCCATCAAAACGCAACATGTCTGTACTGAAAAATTCGATAAACATCTGTCTGGTGTTGTTTAAAGATAAAACATAATCTCTTGTATCCACGGAGGTAGGAAGTAAGTTATTTTTGTTGCCGCATTCCCAGCCTCCACCCCAAATGGCGGGCTATAGCCTTTTATAGGCGTTACGTTCTATTAAGGTCGGAAGCGGTGGTCTCTTTATTATTAAGGCACCGTTGCGTCCCATGAAGAGACTGATGAATTGCATCCATGCTTTCTCCAGAATTCGAGCCGGGCCTTTTGGTACGGCAGACAGAGTCACTAACCGCTTTCTCGTCTGGTCAGTGTTGTTGCCACAGATTTTATGAGCTATTTTCAGCTCTCGTTTTCATTAATGTAATGAAATGTAATTTAAAATGCTAGTTCTGAATTCTAAAATTGGGCTGTAGTGGATGGATCAGTTATAGAATAATTTCCAAATATAATTTTTTTTATATTTAAGTTGCATACTGCTCGTTATATTCAAATACTTTTATTGACATACTGAAGAATGTATTATTGTTTTTAAAACGTAAAATTTTTTAAATTAGGTTATTCGAATATGACAAACCGCACGAGAGCTATTTGCCTAAGTGGAAGGGTGCCTTCCTGGAGGAATTTCTAAGGAAAACTGGCTTGCATTCACTTTACACACAGGGTAAAACTACGGAAACCAACCGTTCAGCCAGCTTATTCGCCTGGGTTCAAGCCCAGCTCATTTGGTTTGGTTTATTTGATTGCGGCAAAGCACATGAGGGCTTCTGTCTAACGAAAGGAATAACTCCGTGGAGGACTTTCTAAGTAGAACTGGCTCATAGCCAAACATGGGGAAACCTACGAAGCCCACGAAGCCAGCCCGTTCACCTGGAATCAAACCCAGATCGAATTATACGTGTTCAACATTCTGAACCACGCTCTATAGTATGGCTGCAAAATTCATATCACGGCAAAATAGAAATTGTTGCCACTTCTCTTATCAGAAATAATAATAACGTTACGAATTTGTACTTAGATAGATAATTTTAGTGAAATTATGTGGGAAATCGTTGTATTTTTCGGTATGATATAACATGAAAAGTTTGAAGGAAAAGATGCTCTGCTGGAAAAATAAGAATAAAGGGTCAAGCCCAATTTAACACTGAGCGCTAATTTTAGCGAAAAATTGCAAAACTTGGAGAACATTTGGGAACATTTTTGTCCGGTGCCTCTATAATTTTAAAGTATATTGTATTTGAATAACTGTGAACGATTCCCTATATTAGCTGTAATCGTGTCCGGCCCTCATATGCCGTCCAGTAATTTCGCAAAGCAGAAAGTATTAGAGGTTTTTCGGTGGCCGGGGGAAAACTATATAAGACCGGAGACAGCATCAGTTTCTCAGTTGTTGTTAGTTCGGAGCCTTCGGAGCATTGAGATAACCGTGAGAGTTTCGCATTTAGATGCGCTTGGCATTGCATTGTGTTTAACATGCTTACTAGTCTGAAGTGAACTACTGATTGTACTCTATGATACTGTGAAGAGAAGACAAGTATTTTTGTGGAAAGTTCCAGAACTATGAAGTGCTTGTTTTTATAAAGTAATTTTAATCAAGTTATCACCGTTTCTATGTGCATTCAATTTATTACGTACCCTCACGTACACATTTAAAAAAAAAAAAAAAAAAAAGAAGGAAATCGACGACATTTTGAATAACTAAGGTTTTTTTTTTCTTTCTTTATCAAGCAACTACAAAATTCCCCATACAGTGTTAATTTAATATTTTAGTCAGTTTTATTTTCTATCATTTGGCTTTGTTATTTGTAGCAAATCATTTTAAATATGTGATTTTATGTTCTGTACATTGAACTTACACTTTTCAAGTAGCAGGCCTATCATAAATATCTATTTTCAAATTGTTGAATTAGAATTCGCAAAGGAAACTCAAACTACTCTTTAAATTCCTACAAATTCAATTTTTTTCACTTCTTTAATTTTTCATTTTTAAAACAAACTTCACCTCGAAGAGTTCTCATTTACAAATTTTAATAGGAGACTTCTTCGAGCTTCTTTGAGATTGCTTTCAGTTCACAGATTTTACACCCTAGAAAAATGGGAATGGTTACCTTTTCACCTGTAAAAAATATTAGTTGCAAGCTTCTCAAACAAGCCATCCAATGATATATAGTATATATACATAGCGACGTCTTGAATAGATTTTTTGTTATAAAATATGCGCATAATTCACATTTGTTAAATATATTTACCGAATTTTGTTTACGTAAATTTACAATTAAATAAAATCATAGCAATTTTTTCCCCTAACATTTGACTTTGCCATTTGAACAACTCAGTTTAAGTATAATAAGATCTCATATTCTATATTTTTAATTTCTGAGGAACTAATGCTTCAATTAGTAAGTGTATAGTAAATGACAAGCTTTAAGCTAGTCACATATTTTACTCTATCATGTTATTAAATTTAAGTCGATGCAGATGGCGCTGCAAGTACGAGCGCAGTTTATTTTTGGTTTTACATAAGTTTCGCGCTTTGACGACGAGAGTAGATGATTTGTTTTCTTTTGATGCTATTGTTACGCACTTTGTTTTTATTTTGCTTGATAATAAAAAACGCTTTTTCATACAGTCCCCTGCTTATTAGTATTATTTCGCATAGCATCGTCACATGTATTATACTGAAATTTGCATACTAAGATCGGATCGCAATTTCGGTAAAAGCGCAGAATACGCTGCATCAACAAAGTTGAGAAAGCGGAGCTGTGTGACGTACATAAATGGGTGGTACTAAGCATGGAAGTTATAACAAATAGACTAACCCAAATGGGTTTTCTCTCTCTTCTGATGCGTTCCCGGCTGTCACCTTCATCACATCCGGAGAAGTAGGGACGACATGCAGAAATTTAACAGTGGTTGCCTATTGCAGCGTGTATGGTTGTCAAGAAAAAGCTGTTGTACCTCCTCATTTCACAAATTAGAATTCTACATATTTTTATTTTTGAAATTGAGATTGATTTTTAAAAATTTAGCATATTTATCAAGCATAATTAACGTTACAAATAATTATAAAGCTATTGCATGCTTTCAGGGCTGGGTTATTTTTTTTAGCTTTTCCTATGCTGTAAGGAAATTTGTAACTACTTCTTTTAAAAATTAACATTGTTAATTTAACTAATAGAAAATTTCAAACAAGCAATTTTCTCTTGCAATTTTTATGCTTTTTATTGGTGTAAATAAGTAAAAAATACTGAAATATTTAAAAACGAATTTTTGAAAGTTTTGTTTAAAATGCTAAACTGTGCTGCTTTTTTAAAATTATAGATGAGTATTATAGCACAATTTCTATAAAGGAATTATATTTCAATTATATTTCATAATACATCATAGTGATAAACACTTTTGACTCCTTAATTTTTGTACATTTAATTCTAATATTAAAATTGTATTTAACCGTAATAATTAATTTTGCTTGTATTTTATAGTGATTATTATTTTTTATTTATTTTTAGTTCTGCATAGGATTTTTTTTATTTACTGTTAATTTATTAGCCCAAAGGGACGGTAGCCTAGAAAGGCTGTTAGTTTCGAAACGGCATTTTGCGCTGTTTTACTATAAATGTCTGTATCTCCTTGCAAATTGTTGTTACCAAATATTATCGCCCTGCATTATATTTAAAGAAATTAAATAATGAAGAATCTGCATGAATACATGTATGTTTCTCGCACTGTGACAAAAACGACAGTATCTAGAGCCATCAAGTTTTAAATAATGTAATCCTCCACCCGAACATGGGCATCTGGATGGCCGAATTTCGAATTTGTTTTAATCTATTTCATATTTTGTAAAACTTTAACGAATTTTTGATTAACAAACTCAACGAGTTCAGAGCGAACACTGCACCGAAAATAACAGTTTTATCTCCAGTGCGGAAATTCTAAAGATATGCTGTTTTCAAATGTATGTGGTTTACGGGCGACGAACATGGTATTCAATAAATATAGATAACACACAAAACCTTAAAAAAAAGGTTCCCTTTAGGCGTAATATAAAATCTGAGTGCTTCTAGATTTTATTTTATATCCCCACCCCCTTCATTACGCTCAGAAAATTTTATGCTCCGAATTTTATAAATTTCTAAAATAAATATTCCACTTTAATGTTAATAATTTAATGATGATATAATCAGATAAATGATTGTTTTGTAATGTTATTAAAGTTATGAATATCACTACCTGAAAATGGTCATTAAATTTAAAAACAAAAATCATCAGATCTTGTTTAATTTTACCTTATTTATTTCAAAGCATCACGTACTATCAATCTGATTGAATTTTACGTTATTTGTACGCAAAATTAAGTTCATAAATTTTGTGCCTAGAGTTTTTACCGTTTTACCAACGTAAAGATGTTTGTACAAGAATTACGCGTGAAAAAAATGCGCGAAATGCAGTAAAAAGTGCTTTAATGAGATATATTAAATCCTATTTGGAAAGAACTGTGGCTTTCATAATCTCATCACTATAAAATGTATCAAATTTAATAATTAAAAAGAGTTATGTGATACAAACGCCATAGGTTTCAGTGTTAAAGTAAACCAGATCGTCCCTACTCTTTCTTGCAGACACGTCGGTGACGCGCCCCCCGCCCACTGGGTTAGTCTATCTCTTATAAGGTCCATGGTACTAAGCTTGTGACGTCACAATGTGTTCCCTCATTTACGCTACGCGTACTTTATATTTTCTATTAAAAAATAACAATAGTGAATTGTTTATTATTGTAAATTAACATCAAATTCTTTACTTTAAATTTACATTTCTTACATTTAAGCTTAGGTGTAACTGAAAATAAATATAATAAATTGTTTATATTTAAAATTACCATGATACAGTAAGCGAATTCTACCAGTTATTAAAACGATAAAGAACGTCGCAGTCTCTGA